GATACCGAACAAAAATTAAGGAGTTTACGTCTCCGGCCATGAGCTCATTAGAAAAAAAGGCGTTCCGAGAAATGCTGGACAGCGGACATTCTTTGATAAATTCATGCAAAAAATTGTGAGTTGTATTTGTACCACGAAACCTATTTTATTAAACCCATTTCACAGATTTCCGATTGAATTCTTTGTTGAATCAAAATAAATTCATAAAATATGCCCATTTTTACGCGCTCTAAAAAAGCTTCCTCCCTTAATTATTTTCTCAACACTTTCCACGCAATTTTAAATTATCATAATTAAATAAACGCACAGCTTAATCTCTCGACATCGGTTGCTACTTTATTCAACTCACTTGTACAAAATGTATATACCCTTTAATAACAACATGTTGCACTCGATTACAAAAATAAAACAAAAATATAACAACTCCAACACCCGATTGTACTACGAAGTGATATTGCAGACAACGCCGGCTGACTCGCGTCATTTATGCACCTCTTTGTACCCACCCATTTGTGTAGGCTTAAAATAGCCGCAGCTAACTTGCATACATACCTACATATATGTATGTGTATATTATGTACATATATATGTATTTCTACTTTAGCTGATATATTTTTCGATACGTGATTTTTGAGGCAGTAGGCAAAGCAGCATATATAATTAACTCAACATATGTACATGTCACATGTGTATGTGTCTATGTACTGAAATTGCATTGACATGCCCCAACGCAACAATAGGTAGCTTTCGTGCGAGGATAAATTGGCCAGACAAACAAACTCGCCCTTAAAAGACTCTCACCGTTCATAGTACTTTAGTGGCGGAGTTGGTTAAAATGACAAAAATTTAATTAAAATTTAAATATTTTTTCCATTTAGCACAAGCACAAAAGTGCATTATTTGTTTTTTGTTACTTTTGGTAACAGTTGTCAACCGGTTATTAGGGCGTTTTGCGACACTCACAAGCTGCCTACACTCCATTCTCTCACTCTCTCTTGTACGGCCTTTTTTTTTTTGTTACAAAAGCAGCTGGAAATTAGCTTTTGTTATTATTATTATTTAACGTAACGTAGCAAAGCAATAACAAATCTGCCTTTACAAACGAATTTAGAAAAACAAAAACATTTGCATGAGTTATACATTTGTATGTATGCGCACTTCCTTGTTTATGCATTCGTCTTACACCTGACATCTACTTCCGCTAACGTTGCACCGACACCTCTCAACTCAACTAAACACAGCCACATACTGGTACATACATACATATGTACATATATGTATGCTTTCAAGCCATTTTCCCCCAAAATTTTGATTTTTGATTATTCAGTTTCCGACATTGTCGCCGCTGTTATCGGCTATTCAATATACACAAAAACAGTTATTTTATTAACGCTTTGAAAGGATTTCCGCTTAAAAACATACGCCGATTTTCCATTCTTACTTAATTCCTGTCCCACAATGCACTTTACATATGAGAATTTTCACACCGCTTATTCTCCTTTCCACGACTTTTTCTGCTTTGTTATACAATTTCAATTTGATTTTACGAAATTTTCATCAATTTCGGTTAAACCCGACCGAAATTTTAACAATTAAACGAACTGATTGATTCGCCGGAAGTATAAATTATGCACTTTTATAAAAATAAGCACAATATTTCGCATATATTTCATTAGTAAATGCCGTTTGATTTCGCAAAATTCTTTTTTCCGCTTTAGCTTCTGCTTTGTATTTTTGCAATTAATTAAAAAAGCATCGAACTATCTGAAAGATGCACAAAGAACGCAAAGAAATGACAAACGAACCTACGAACGGTCAGGGTTGCAAATGTGTGCAATGTTATGGGAAAAATATATTTGTGAAGAAATATGAAAATTTATGCGCAGACATTTATTTTAAAACAGACATTGCGTGAGGAACATTCGCAAATCAAATATATTTTCTATAAACCTATATATTGTATATATTCTATTATATATGTATGTATACATTTTAAGTTTCAGCATTTTCTCATTAGTCCAATTTAACTATTGTATTGGACAATTTAAGTGGAGCGTAGAAAACCAAAACAACGCAACACGGCTGCTCTGCCGGCGACAGCGCAGCAATGGCAATGATAAGAAAAAAGCGAATGACCATACAAAACAACGAAGCCGAAAAAGTGCGAATTCCGCATAAAGCGCGAATGCAGAAATAAGAGAGCGGCATAGGCAAATCAGAGAACGATGTAAACAAATGAATAAAAATGATAAGACATGCGAGAGTGCACCTCGAACGCTGGCAATGCTGTTTGTGCTGAACTATTAGCCGCTAGATGTCCCCGGCAATAGTATTTGAAATTGTGAAATGTATAAGTAGGCTGTGATTTCAGTTGACGCTGCCAAAGAACGTTCTTTGACGCTGCTTTAGTTAGTTTTTTTCTATAATTCTAACTGGTATTTCATTACGAAAATAACAAAATCGATTAAATTTTGTAAAATTTAAAAATCTTAATTTAATAATAAAAGCAGGTAATCACAAACGTAAATAATAAAAAACATTTAAATAGGGTTTTTATTGAATCTGCTTAAAGGCGTGGGATTGGTCCGTCATCGTAAGTAAGTAAGTACATACACACACACATACATAGGAAATAATTAATGCGGTTATTAATGCTGAACTTGATAAGCTTAAAAAGAAGGATTTTTAAGATTGTTTTCAGAAGTGGAGATATATCTTGAGAAGATAAAAAAGTACAAAGATTACGAATAAATACAAAGGGAATTTTCATTTATTTTTTTCCTGGTCAACTTACCGATTCAAAGATGTCTGGAAAAAGAAGCCTGACGAGAAAACGTGGTGGTTTCCGAAATAGCAGCTATAACTTCTACCGCCAAAGCTGTTGTTGTAATTTTTTCACTCTTTCCAAAAATAAATGGTCTGAAACAGTGCCATAAGGAAAATAAAACCAACAGAACAGTGACCTGAAAAAAATCATTGCCGAACTTTTGTTGACTCCCTCGTGCATACTAACACATGTAAAATTGACGCTTATAACTGCGATTTTCGGACGAGCACCATCTCCACTTCCAACAAATGAAGAAAGCTAGAGTTCATTCTGAGCCGCCTCTAAAGCTGATGGATTTTTATGAGGTGCTTTTATTTCAGAAATACACTCGGATTGATTGACATTCTCTGCCGAAGGACGTTATGTTCTATAATAATAATGTTATAGGAGTGATAGCCTTTACTCGTTCCGACTGTTGCGGAAACTCTTGGATTATAGTCGCTTATACCACAAGGACAGGAGTAGTAAATCGAAATGGAATGTCTTCAGTAATGTTTATATAATCTTTGTAAAGCGATTACCATTATACAAATCGAACACATACTAGAAAGACTGCTGAAGCATGTGGATACCTTAGTAATGTTGTGTGGTGTCTTACGGTCTATGGAAAAGAGCAGAAGGTGAATTTGAACGGCGCCTACGTTGACGAATTACCTCTAGCTTGTCTTTTATCAGCAAGAATAAGACAGTAAATATTACTCTCGGGTCGCTAAGAATTGGCTTAAAACTAATCGTTTCAAATGATAAGAGCGGCGTGCCCAAGAAGAGAGCCCTTACCAAGCAAAAGAAGAAAAGGAGGACGGGATGAAGTATCTACATATATGCAAATGTATGTCGCTTAAATGGCGATTTTTACGAATCATTCGGTTCAAGCATCAAAAATGCATCGGAGTTGTCAAGGTGAATCAACTTCGGCGGTACACTATATGTGGTTATCGGCAGTGGAATATTGCAGCGCAAAAACAAAGCATTAAACATCTTAACGGGTCACCAGCGGCCACATAGGAAATCCAAATATGTGACAGACTGGATTGTTTTTTTACGTATTGAAGGAAAAGCTGGTGTTAAGATGCGAGGGAAGAGAAGAAGACTGTATATCTTACCGAAAGCCATATTGCTCGCTAAAAGGATATTAAATGTGGAAGACAATCCTTTATTAGATATCGTTCAAATGTTGCGAACATGCCATGGGCAACAGTATACATATGTACATATGTCATTCATTTGAAACAGAAACAACAATGTATTGTATAACTGAAAAAGTGTTCTCGCAAGGAACTCTCTTTCATTACTTTAATATGATAAAAATCATTTCCACACAATGTCGAATGTGGATTTTTTGCCTTTGAAGAAGAAGAACGTCTTGGCCAGCCTTCTAAAACCAAGTGAAACCATTGATGGCGAAAGCTATGGACAACAGCTCCATCATGACAACACTCGAGTTCATGTTGAAATGCCGTTCAAAAACTATTTGGAAAACATCATCTTGCAATTCAACCTCACACTCTTTACAGCCCAGGCGATTTCTTCCACCTAGGAACCAAGAGGTGCTATTTTGGACGAAACAGGAAATACCCAGTTTTGACGAACAAAGGCCAAGTTCTACAAGTCGCTTATCATTCACGCCAGACTATATGGTGCTGAGGCTTGGCGCGAAGAGTTTTCGAGAAAACAGATTAATGGGAGATTTACGGTGCTTTGAGTATTGGCGGCAGTGAAGAGTTATGGTCCCTCGAGTATTCAAAACAGCAAATACCGCAGCCGATGGAACGAGGAGATGTATGCGTTAAACGGCGGCACAGTTGAGGGAATCAAGAGAAATTGGTTACTCTGACTTGGTCATGTTATCCAGATGCATTAAACGCTGGTAGAAACAGCAGACGAGGAAGACCCCCACTCCGTTGGAAAGATCAGGTGGCCAGAGAGACCTGGCTAGCGCGCTGTTATTAACTCGGCGTAAGCAATGTCTACGCCAATTAATAAGGGGAAGAAGGACATCAAGTTCCCGCCACGGTCGGATCTTTACCACGGAACGACCTGAAGTTTCATCCGGTCAAGGACGATCATTCGCGTGAATATATTTTTGTGACTACAAAAATAACAACAATAACACACATTGTCTTCATTTTGAATAGTTAAAAATATTAAATAAAACGAAATTTTGTTTTTTTTTCTATTTTTATGTATTTTTTATTCTCACAATTGCTCTGTATAAAAGTTAGAAATCTAAAATCGATAATCACATTCTGTTAAATCCTGTAAAATTTATTTATTTTTGCACACAACCATTCCAAAAGGGAATATACTATGGAAGACTAAGATTTCTAATTTTTGATTTGTTTTTTTTTTTGTTTTTGTTAAAAATTGGTGCCTTTTTTAAAACTATGGACGTACGAACATTACAAATATATACATACATATGTTTGTGTGTATATTTTTTTACAATTTCACTTTTTTACAAGTTATTTTGAATAAAATTTTGCACAATCGACTTAAAATCACAACAATTGAGATGAAATCTGTTTGTTTGTATGTAAATATGTATAAATCATAAAATTTACTATTTAAAAGAATTTTTTTGATTTTTTGGGATTTCTTGGAACACAAGCGAATTTGTTTCAAATCATGAATATGTATTTGCGTATGTATGTATGTAGAAAAATTAAAATGTTTACAAACACATGCATGTTTGACTGTCTGCAAAATTAAATTATAAAAAAAATCTATTATATTTTACATTGCAACCCTGCACTTTCAACCTCAACATCAGCCACCTCACCACGCCCACTTCGGTGACACCTTACCAAAGTTGAACTCATCCGGATGTCCTTTATGCTCTACATCCACCATATGATTCGCCACTTCCGACCACTTGAACGGACCGCTGGAAGCTTCACGCATTGCAATCGCCTCCATATCGTCACGCACCGAACGCCGATCGCTAATACGCTCCAATTCGGCCAACTGTGCCGCATCATCAATGCTTACACTCAGCCGTTCGTCCTTCAAATTCGATGCCATGTCTGTTGATTCACTAACGACAGCTTCGCGCGGCTGTACGTGCTGTAGCCGTATGAAGATGGGTCCGGCGAAGGCATGATAATCACTAATGCCTATTTGTGCATTGTACGAAAACAATTTGATGTCAATATTGCCGTAGGCAACCGATTCTTCGCCGAGCAGATCACCACGAAAGCCATGCTTGCGCATAAACTGATCGACAGCCTCGAGATTTGTGAGTTCTTCTTCGATTGTTGTGCGCATATCTTCATAGGCATTAGCCGGCGATACGCCGCTCGCTTGCAACATCTCATCGAAATACGGCACACCATTCGCTATCCACGTGGAGTTGTCGCCAGTTAAGAATCTCTCCGAAACATCCTTCAGATGCATGCGTCCCGGCAATTGTTCGACAATCCACACCAAGCCCTTATTGCGATTATGTCGCTCACTGATTGCTGCCTCATCGGCGGCATTCAATGGCAAGGCGGCATCATCATGCTTCTCATCCTCGGCCAGTGTCATATACAAATTGTCTTGTGGTCGCAATTTATTCAAGTCCACCGTTATCCACTGCTTGCAACCAGTGAAGGGGTGCCGTGACATTGCCTTCGCCCAGGTGCGACGGTTCTGTGCAATGCGATTAGCGGCCATGACACGTGCGGCCAAGGGTAGCGCTTGTGTCACATTTACCGTTTGCCACAAGTCGAGATTCTCATTTTTAATGCCCACACCACCAACAATGGACTGCACCTGACGCCCTTTGACAATGTAAAAGTCATCGGTGGAGCCGAGTATGCCCGGATAGCCGGTAAATGTTATATCCACACCGGGCACTGTATTCGAACGTTGATTGGGTGAGAAGTGATAATGAAATTTATAACGTTTTTGTATGCGCAACATTGAGGCATAACTGCCGGCGGTGCTGTGGCCGAAGAGTAGACGCCAGGTTGGCGAATCAGCAGTTTGAAAGATTTTCGTAAGCATTGTTGCGCTGGGTAGAAAGAAATTTTTAGGACCCATCTCCGCCGACGCACCTGAAACTGTTGACTCAGCGCCGGCAGCAGTATGAGTTTGAGCTCCTTCTCCTGTTGCAGCTGTCTCATTAACGCTCTTTAAGACGAAATTCTCAAAATATATTTTCAAATCTTGTACATCGGCAGCGGCGTTCAGGAGTAAGAAATCTGAGAATGGTATCTCTTCTTCGAGATCTGAACGTGCACGTGATGCGCCACGTATGTAGCCCGTCTCGAGACCCTCCAATTGCCGGAAGTAAAGACTGATCTGATGCCAGTAGTGATCGTGTTCGCCTCGCTGCAGCGCCGTCTCCTTGATTTGCAGATAATTTTCGTTGAGCAGTTCACGTAACCATTTGCAAAAGTTCTGTGAATTCTCATCGCGTTCGCAGGACGATTCGATGGTGCTGGAAGATAAGTTATTTGGTTGATTACTCGGCGCAAGTTTAGTTGGTTTTACTTACTTTTTCCACTGATTGTAGATGTTATTCCATGTCAGCGAGCCTTCAAGCATGCCAGCAGCGAACGCTTGTACCCAATCCGGATAGGTACGTTGGGTTTCCACCTCGATTTGTGCCCAACTGCAAAAGAAAAATAATAAAAAGCTGAGTTTTAATAGTCTGATGAAGAACTACTTCAAAGAAAGAGGAGGGTGCTATCGTCATGATGGTTCCGCTTAGCTTCGGGAAAAATAGCTTTAAATCTCTTGAAGTTCACGCACACCCTAATGCTTGGCATTTGAGAGAAGAGTTCAGTAAATTTAAGATCTGTTACTTTAAAAGCCAAAGAAATTTGGAATAAATACATTCTTTATAACCTCAAAGCGGTGTACAAAGAGAGCGTAAAATATAATTTGAAGCTCTGAGAACTTTAAGAACAGTTTTATTTCGAACATTTTTTCAGAGTTGGTGGATTTGTTGGATAAAAATCTGAAACGTTTGGGTCAAAGACAAGCCCATCGCGGCAACTATAGGATTTTAGTCGCTTCCAATGATTGGATCGCTTCACAATGTATAAATTCTTTAGCTCCTAACTCGAAGGGGTTAGAGAACGGACAATGATACTTAAGCTTTTGCTGAGAGTGAGAAAATCCATAGTAGACAAATAGAAATCTGCATAAATTCTTCAACTTCACTTACCCATTTTCATAGATGGAATCCTTATAGCACACTCTAGCCGCACCCTTTGGAATGTTAAGAAGATCATTTTGCTGTTTCCAATATTCAATGTGAAATCCAGTTTGTTTCGACCAAACCGCAGTGGCACAGTATGTTCCATTGTATTTCGGTCGTTCCATATAACTAACGAAGAAAGCTCCGATCACAAGTAAACCAGCACCGATAAGGATGTAAGTCCCTATCCGAGTTTTCTGCCAAGATGCACCGACAACTTTTAACATTGTTCCGGCCGTCTTGAAGTTTACTGGTTACAAGAGTGAAAATGAAACCGTTAAAGCGTGCGAAACCGCCGCGTTTGAGTTTTTATCTCTTTTTCTTTTGGGTATTCTTGCGACTTCTCTGCGTTGGACGTTATGTATTGTTTTGATTTTTTTTTTTAATATTTGAGATTTAAGATAAGAGCCTCTTTTTTTTTAGATAATACAGAATCTTTTGTGTTGTGCGAAGAATTCGGTTACTTGATTTCACAAGAATAAAAATGATTTCTGCTGGATTTTACACTCGGTTATAATTGTGATCGGCACGTGTGGCGTACGAGTGTCCGAAGCTGCGGCGGTGCACGTCGATGTTGTGGGCTGCTGCAGCTGCTGCACTGACGGTGTTAGCGTTGGCACAAGCGAGGTGGTTAGCACCGAGGTTAAGCGTTTCTGTGGCCACTTTGACTGGCAAAACGACCGTGTTGCTCATCGGAGGAGGCGTTTAGGTCGCTAGCTCTTTTGTTGTTGTGATGTTGGGAAACTCAGTTAAGTGATGGGCGTGAGATATTTACTTTTGTTGTTGTTGTTGTAGTTTTTTTTTTTAAGATTTTAAATGCAAAAACTGGTGGTATTTTCCCCCCTGGAGTTTGATGGTAAGCGCCAATAAATTCTTTGAGTTTTCCTCTCGGTAAACTGTTGTTTTTTTGGACTTTTGAAAACTTGCTATTGTTACGAATGAAATATGTATGAAAGTGTATTATTCCTTTGATGTCTTTTTTGTAGTTTTATTTTGAAGAAAGAGTGCCGGAGTTAGTTTGAATGTTTGGTCAATAAAGTCCCTGTAATGAAACGAAAAGGAAATTTTTGAAAATTGTTAACATGACCACATTATATATGTATATGTATATATATATATATATATATATATATATATATATATATAATTAAATATAGTAAAAATAATGCATATATAAAATGAAGTAAACTCAAATAAGTTTGGATGACAAAATAAATAAAACATTAAAAAATTTAAATTATTATGCAAAAATAAAAAAATATTTTACTTTATAAAAGGAAAAAAATAAATTAAGTTAAAAATATTAAATTAATATGAAAATAGAAAATATTATTTTACCCTAAAAAACTATAATTAAAAACAAATATAATAAAACAATTTAAAATAAAACAAAAAACAAGTAAAATAAAATAAAATAAAATAAAAAATAAAATAAAATAAAATAAANAAAATAAAAAAAATAAAATAAATTAAAAAAATTAAATTGAATAAAATATCATATAGTAAAATTAAAAGAAATAAAAATAATATAAAAACTTAAAACAAATTAAAATGAAACAAGATTATCATAGATTATTTTTTGTCGAAATATAAAAGACAAAAAAGAAAGTTTTAAATTTTGTCGTGCTGATTTCAGAATTTCTGGTGTAATTACTTCAAAATGAGTACCAACTGAATTTTCCCCACCAGAACTCGTGTGCATGAAATTAACATCGCACACAAACGTACCTAACTCCGCACTTCCAAGCTACGCGATGCCACTTTTTATGTAAATTACGTTCATACAACGTATAAAATTCAAAAGGCGAGTGCGTTCAAAATCTGTTTAAATATTGTTTATAAAACATCATCTTATTGAAAAAGAATTTTAAATTTATTTCCCATCTTTATCAAGTAAATATTTATTTATGATGATTTTTGGCATTAAGCGCAAATAATGTTAATTTTGGGATTTGTGGAAATTTCCATTAACCTATCATAGAAAATTATTTAATTTTTTTTATATAGGAATTCCAGCCTTACATAAACAATATTTATCTACCAAAAATGAAGTGTTTTTCGTTTCGGTTGAAAAGTTGAACGCAGTACATAAATAATCACTAAAATGCATTACTGGCCGACATGTGGGGAAGTGGGTGTGTGTGTGGGTGTGGGCGCATGAACGCTGCCGATAAGATTATAGACAATTCGCTTAAAATTTAAATAAACACATAAATAAACTTAGTGAAAGCAAAATATTATTCTAATAAATCGATGTTTTCCAGCAATATTGAGGAGAGATACAAAAAAAAAATATATATATATATATATAGAGAGAAGAAAGTCGATTTTATATACAAATATTTATTTGAAAAATTATTCATTTCCTTTTCACTATTTTAATTGTTATGATTCGCATTAAACGTCAAGTCAAGAACCTCATTAATACTCATAACTTAGCCATGTGCACATCGACAGAATTATTGGATTTTGAATTCAATTTGCTCTACGTCATGCTTGCACTCACACAATCATCATAGCTAAATTTCAAATTAAATAATATATAAAAATGTTTAAATTTATTAAAAACACGATTTAAATAAAAAAAATTATTTAAATAAAAAAATTACTTAAATAAAAAAAATTATTAAAAAAAAAATTTAAATAAAAAAAATTATTTAAAAAAAAAATTTACATCACAAAATTTAAAAAAAAAAATTATTTACATAACAAAATTTAAAAAAAAAAAAAATTATTTACATAACAAAGTTTAAAAAAAAAAATTATTTACATAACAAAATTTGTATTTGAATATTTTTTTACCAAATTTGAGTAGGCGAAAATCATATATTTTGCACTATTTCATGTTATACAAGCCACTTTAAATCAATTTTGTTTAAAACTAAAATTTCCGAAATGTGAAAATCAGCAATTAAAATTTAGCTACATTAAAATATTTTAAGTGAATAAATGTTTTTTCGAAATAATTTAAAAATTTATAAAAAAAAAACCCCTAATAAATCCAATTTATAGCCACAATTGTGGTTAATTGCCAAATATGTGTAAACAGAAATTTTGAAGCATAAACAAGCAACCAAAGTGGTTTATAAACAAAAAAAAAAGAAAAAAGGCTTTACAAAAAAAATTTAATTACTACTCCACTGGAAGATTTTTTATAAACGCTCTCCAAAAATAAATTCAAATAAAGAGAAATACTTTTTTTTTGAAAAATAGCTATAAAAATAATTAAAAAAAAAACGCAATGGTAATTGCAATTATACTACAAAAAAATAATAGTAAACAGCATAAAAACATTCAAATGTTCTTAAAGTGGCTAGCAGACAACAGGGCGTGTGCACTTCAGCTCCCTTCTGAGAGGTTGCCCGCCCGCCGAGTTCAACAAACAAATAACCATAAACACTTAGCACATGTAAATTTGTATTTATGCAGCAACATTATTAAGTATATATATTTTTGATGTTTACAAATTAAATAACTATTTAATTTAATTTTTTTATAAGTAGCATGCGATTTTTTTTCAATGCAACAGTGGTGTGCCAAGAAAAAAACCACCTGAGGAAAAATTTACAGAATCGCACGTTTGGGAAAAGAACTTATAACATTAAAATAAATAAATAAATAAAATTAAACTGAATAAATTTCAAATTAAAAACTAATGACATAAAATAAAATAAAACAAAATTTAAAATTTAAATTAATTATAAGAAATCTAATAGAATGAAAAAATAAAATAAAATAAAATAAAAAATAAATAAAATAAAGATAAATACAATAAAATAAAAGAAAATTAAAAAATAATACTTAAGAAACAAATAAACATTAAAAATCAAATTCAATAAATTTTAAAATAAAAAAATAATAATATAAGACAAATCAAAACATAATACAAAATTTAAATTAAATAAAATAAGAAAATCGAAATAAGTAAAATAAAAAATAAATAAAATAAAAGTAAATTCAATAAAATAAAAAAATTAAAAAAAAGAATAATTAGATAAAAATAAACAAAATAAAATCAAGTAAAACAAACAAATAAAAAATTAAATAAAATCATAATAAAATAAATAAAACAAAATCAACATATTAAAATGAAATAAATTAATCAATTTAGAACAAAAGATAAAAAAAAATTTAAATTAAATTAAATTAAAATAATTAATTTAAAAATAAAATAAATATGAAGAAATAAAAAATAAATTAATTTAAATTAATAATAAGTAAAATAATTAAAACATGTATAAATTGACAATAAAATCAAATTAAACAAACTAAAAGAAATTTAAAAATAAAATAAAAGATATTGAAACAAAATCAAATAAAATAGTGTAAACTAAAATTAAATTTTATAAAGTTAAATTAAATATAATAAAAAATAAAAATTAGAGCAGTTAGAAAATTATAGAATTATTTAAAAATATTTAAAACAAGCAAATAAAACAAATTAAATTAAAATTATATAAAAGCAAAATAAACAAATTTAAATAAAATTAAATAAAAATATGTAAAACAAACAAAATAAATAAATTAAATTAAGTAATAAATAGTATAATGAAATATAACTGAAAAATAAATAAAATAACAAAATATAAATTAAATTAAATAAAGCAAACTTAATTAAAATAAAATAAAACTTATTTAAAATTGTTTAAGTAAAAACTTTAAAACAACAACAAAGCATAATAAAAAAAATTTACTAAAATCAATATTTAAATAAAGTAAAATAAAATAATTTTTAATAATAAAGTACTAAATACTATATTACAATAAAGCACACCAAATTAAAATAAAATTTAATTAAATTAAACAAAGCAAATTAAAATTAAAGAAGCAAATAAAATAAACTAAAACAAAATAAAGTAATAGTAAAACAATTTGAGCAAAATAAAAAGAATTTAAATAAAATTCAATAATTCAATATGGAATAAAATAAACTTAAATTAAGCAATAGAAAACATAAAAATAAAAATTAAATAAAATTAAATTAAATAAAACAAAAGAAATAAATGAATAACATAAAATAAAATATGTTGAAATCAAAAATAAAATTCATATAATATAATGATATTAAAATAAAATAAAATTACATCAAATAAACTAAATTAATTAAATAAAAAATTCAGAAAAATAAACTAAAACAAAAAAAAAAAATAAGATAAATTAAAAAAAAAAAATTTTAGAATTAAAACTAGTCGTGGCGAAAATTCCCACATCAGTTCCCTCGCCACTTCCAACAATATCCTATATGTACGACTTAATAAGTATAAACAGCGATTTCTACGTGCGCGTGCTTTCATTGGCAGTAATTGCCCACAACAAGTCCCAAGTATGCTTAATGGTTAATATTTTCTTAAATCGATTTCGGCTTTTCTGGCATGCCTTTCTTTTACGATTTTTCTTTCTTTTGTTTATCCATACTGCACACTCATTGTTTATACTGAAAATTATTTTAATACGGTAGTTGCACGCTTTTAAGGTTAGCTCTTTGTTTTTGTGTATAATTTTTTATGACTCCCCACTGAGTATACATATGTATAAATGTATATATCCTCTGTATGTATGTATGTCTAGGTTGTTCGTGGATTTTCAACAACTCTTTATCTTTCACCCATTCATTGACGCCACATGATTTCGCACTGATTTTACAGATTTAAATCTCAATATGAAGGTTTGTAATACAATTTAATAAATGTACAAAAATATATATGTATATATGTGTGAGTAGTGCTAATAATGATTTTGTAAAAATTTTTAATTGAAAATTCAAGTATTTGGGAAATCAATTAAGCGGCTTGTGGTTTTCCAATACCATTTTTTTGGTATTTATGTAGCTTCGTCGATTGTATACTTTTTGATTGTACTTCGTGAAATTCATCTATAATTCACATTTTTATTGTTATTTCAATGCTGACGTTGACGGAAATCGCTTCTTTTTTCTTTAGATGAACAAAAAAATGCCTTAATTGAAATTCATCATTCGCATTTTATTACTCTTTGGCATTTTTAATACGTCATGGATTTGAAAAAGAAAATAGCTTTTGAAGGACCGAAAATTCTGTTGCGAGGAAAGTTTTTTCAAAGTATCAACAAGAGGCAAACCACCCTCCATTAAAGACCATTCAATTGCTAAATAAAATTCGATTACAGTAATGTCTAATTTAGGATTTGTCAGTAGAGGTCCGAAACACTTGGGGCTGATCCGGAGATCTAACTGCCTCCATTAACTTGACTAAAGGTTACTGGATAAATAATTATTAATCGAAAACATGTCCGAGTTTTTTCATTTATGCAAATGAGATAAGCTAAATAAGTTATTTCCTAAATCCAACGACAAAATTCCCAACGAAAAAGATCACATGCAAAGCAATGGAAGAGTCAACTCCATAAGTAAATAACTGAGACAAAGCTCGAACTGACCTCTTAAAATAAAGCGTGGTCTCTTCAATTTTTAAGTCTAATAACCAAAAAAAAAACATTTTAAAAAATCATTGACAACATTTAAGATATTTTTTTTTTTCTTACATGGGAATCTGAAAACTGCGGAAACAATATTCATTTCTCTGTTTTCCCTTTAAGGTAATCATATAAAAATATTATTAAATTCATTTGTAAATTCTCCAATTAATTGTTAACTAAATGTAAAATTTTAATGTAAGCAAAAACATATTTGATGAGAGAATAATTGAGATTTATAGACTGGAAGACAAGTCCAAGGCAAAGGTTCCCACTCCACCAGCCAATCAAAGCAAAAGCGGCGCAGAAAGTATTTCAAAGGGAAATAAATTTTTTTAGCAAATGTAAAGTAAACTATGAAAATATCAAAGGCTGATTTGTCGAATTTATTTGTGTGCGAAAATATATTTACATATATGCACATTCATATGTACGATATGTACATGAATTCGTACTATAAAGAAATTTTAATCATAATTTAAATAAAAAATTAGTTTAAAATTATTAGTACCAATTGCTCCATTTATGTGTTACCAAAATCTTACTTTCATACTTTTTTCCTTCTAAATTGAATACTATTTTTTTTTTTAATTTTTTTTTTATTTATTATTTTTTTTTGAATAGCAATCAACAAGTTATGCCTAGCGTATCGACATATATAATGTAATTTGAATAGAATTCACTACATCTTTTTTAAATAATTAGCGGAAATGAGCTGAGTTGAGCGAGCAATGAAATCGTTTCATTCATCAAAACACAATAAATCGTTATTGTAGATGTTTTTGAAAATAAAAATTTGTATGCAAAATTACTTAGCATGTGGAACGAATTTTATTCAATAGATATATTTTACTGTTATTTCGCATTTTTTATTGTTCACTTCTCACATTTTTACTATTTCTTGATGAAATGTATGTATAATTACGTGGAAAAATGCATATTTATTTAACAGTGGATATTAATTAACGTGATTGTGAGTTTTTGTACGTGGAAAAGTCAAAAACACTTAAACAAAAAATTTATTTAAAAAAACTTAAATATTAAAATAAAGTAAATAAAAAAAATAAAATAAAATAAAATAAAATAAAATAAAATAATATAAAATAAAATAAAATAAAATAAAATTAAATTAAATTAAATAAAATAAAATAAAATAAAATAAAATAAAATAATACAAAATAAAATAAAATAAAATGAAATACAATAAAATAAAATAAAATCAAATCAAATAAAATAAAATAAAAAAAAAACAAAATAAAATAAAATAAAACAAAGTTAACTTAAATTAAATGAAACGAAATGCAATGAAATGAAATGAGGTAAAATAAAACAAAACAAAATCAAAATCAAATGGAATAAAATTAAATTGAATAAAATACAACAAACAAACTAGAATTAAATAAAATGAAAAAACAAAAAAGTAATTAAAATAAAGGAAATAAAATAAAATAATATAAAATAAAATAAACTAAAATAAAATGTAAGGGATGAAAACAAAATAAAAATAAATTTATCTAATACAGAAAAAAAGGAGAAATATATTTAATCAAAATAAAATTAATAAAATTACTTGTAATAACGAAATAAAACACAAAAACTATATAAAATAAATTTTAAAATTGCTAAAATTAAAAAAAACAAAATCAATAAAATAAAAATAAAGATTGTAAAAAACAAAAAACAAACTAAAATTAAAAAAGTTAAGCAAATAAAATTAAAATAAATTAGATGACTTTAAGTAAAATAAAATAAAATTAACGGAACACAATTACAAACCAAATAAAAATAAAAAAATAAAATAAAAAATTCAATTTATAATATATAATGATTAAATAATTGTTATATAACAAACTTAAGAAATTAAATAATTTAAAAAAAGAAAAACTATAGCTAAAATAAAATTAATCAAAAGAAAATAAATACTAAAACAAAAATTAAATAAATAAGCTTAAACAAAATCAGCTATAATGAACAATTTAAAAAAAATAATAATAATAGAAAAAATTAAACTAAAATAAAATTAAACGAAGAATTAAAAAAAGACGACTACAATTAAAAAAAATAGAATTAATTGAAAAAAAATAAAAACAAAGAAAAAATGTGTTCATCCGCAATAATATTTATTAACAAACTATTATAAGTATAAATTTCGAGTAATCCAAATTTAAAACTAATCACTGATACTCTTACCTTTTGGTCCCGGGTTCAGGAGAGCACTGTTCCACAAGTCACCCCATTGAAATACTAAAAGGAAAAAAAATAATTATTTGTTATTCAAGCGTATTTAATATAGTTTTAGATATACTTCAAGCCGTTAAATAATGTTTAATAATAAATGTAAAATAAATAAAAATGCGCAATTTTTCGCTTTCCCCCCATAAAAAATACAGTTGTAATTTAATCTCTCTAAGTGCTCCACTTGTTTCGTAAAGCTCAATTGATACATTCATTCGTCTTTCTACAGCTAGACAGCTAAGTAAATAAAAACATTTATTGTAATTAACACTTTATTATTGTTATCATACTACGAGCGTCTTTCTTTTCATAAGCTCCCTTTATCGATTACATTCGTAGCAGCAATCAAACGATCACATTTAAATGAAAGCATAATGGAGTGGAGTAATTTTATTTATTTTTACTACAACTTGTGCGCACGCGCAAATTAACAACGGCCATTTATGCAGACTGGTAGTAATTTTTTTGTCAACATAAAAGTGGTTTATATTTAGAAATGTATATTCCAATCTATTTACTCTCAAAATGGATATGTGCAAAATTTGCAGTAAATTGAAAAATAATAATAAATAACAATAAAAATAATACAAAAAATAAATTAATTCAAAATATATAATAAATTAAAATAAAATAAATATAAAAAACACAAAATTTAAAAAAATATATAAAAAGAAAATTAAATTAAAAATAAACTGCATTCTTGTTCTCATGTCCATTGAATAAGATCAAGGTTTATATATTTTTTATTTATTATTCATTAAATATTCGGCTACAGTCACAGATCGATCAAAAGTAGAAGATCTGCTGTAAGGTAGGACAGTGTATATCTGGACTTACATATATTTATATAGACGTACATATGTCAGCAATTTTGGAGAGGTCTTTAGTCTCTATTAAAACCTACCTACCTACCATACTTAGTTGATTTCTGTTTACTAATATTTTAAATATTAAAATTTAGATTAAGGGAGAGTGGAAAGTAAAAAATTAAATAAAAGTATATCTGACAAAGCTGCAGTTATTGTTGCCCGATTACGCCCATATCGAATTCATGTTCATACCACACCATAAGTGTTATAAGTAAGAATTTTGTCTGATATTAGTTTCTCAAATACACTTTTTAAACTAAAAGTGACTTCAAATCCGAAATAATTGCTACCTCTCATATTTTTTCTCATTTATTGTCTATAACTGACGCTAACTAATGTCTCTAACAAATATGTCTTTATTATATATTATGATTGCTTATTTATTTATTGAATTATTGTGATTTACGAACTTTTTAAAAATTACCGTTATATGTGGGACGTGGCCCAAGAAATGTGTGAGCCAGTTCGCTTCAAAATATCTCAAACCTTACTTGAATTACGGTTGCACGGACATACAGACAGACAATATTAAATCGATTCGTCTTTTTATTCCATGAAAGTTTGATATCCATATATATTTATGTATGTACATTTCGATTATTTTAGGTCGTTACATATATACCGTTAGGCGTACAAATATAATAATAATATATTCTCAGTTTATAGTATGTGCATATGTACATCCCAGTAATTAATTGCTTAATATTTTTATTTATTTATATTTTTTTCTTATTTTATACTTTATTTTATTTGTATTTATTTTATTTATTTTACAATTTAATTTTTATTTATTTTTAAATTTTTAATTTTTTAATTTTACTTTCATATTTTTTATTTATTATGATTCTTTTTATTTTATTTCATTACATTCGTAATTTATATTTTTTGTTTTTTTATAGACTTTTATATTTTTATAATTTTTTATATTTTATTTTTTATATTTTTTATTTCTTCTCATTATTTTTTATTAGTTTTAAATTTTTCATATTTTTTATTAGTTATAAATTTTTTATGGCATTTATTAGTTTTAAAATTTTTACCTTTTTTTACAATTTTTTATTATTTTTAATTATATTTTTAATTTTTAATTATTTTTTTCTTAATTTTATCCTTTATATTTTTTTGTCTTCTTTATTATTTTTTTTCTTTTTATTATTTTATATCTTTTTTGCTACTTTTTTACTTTTTAATTATTATTAATTTATTTTGAAATTTTTGATAATTTTTCAAATTTATTTCATTTTGTTTGTAATTTTTTTTTATATTTAAATTTTTTTAAACTTTGAATTCAAAAAAATTAATTTTTCATCTTTTTTATTTTCTTTTTATTTTTTTATTGTTTTTGCTTTTTATATTATTATATTTTTTATTATTTTTTATATTATTTACTATTTTTATTTTTTTTTTATTATTTATAGTTTTTATGTTTTTCATGTTTTTATTAGTTTATCGTTTTTTATATCTTTTTAAATTATTATTTTATATTTTTAATTATTTTATTATTATTTTAAAATTTTTAATTATTTTATTAATTTTTTTTATATTGTTAATTATTTTAAATTTTTAATTATTTAATATTTTCTTATTTTTGCATTTTTTATATTTTTTTTTTATTATATTTCATTATTTTTTATATCATTAAATATTTTTATTTATTACTTTTTTATTTTTTTATTTTTATTTTTTTTTATTATATTTATATTATTTTTTCATTATTTTTACATTTTTTATATATTTTTATTATTATTTTTTATATAATTTAATATTTTTAATTTTTAATAATTTTTTTATATTTTTTATCTTTTCTATTACTTTTTTTTAATGTTTTTTTTTTAACTGAAATTTTAACAATTTTTTTATTTAATTTTTAATTTTATTTTTTCAGGATAAAACTACTTTTTACCCACCCTTTGATGCACTTTTTAATTACGTCAAATGAATTTTACGTTAACAAATGAAGTAGACAAAGAGAAATTTTTGCACATTAATTAATTCCACAGTATTTTCAGCTTCCTTAAATACCCTCATGTAATGAAACTCGTTTGCAACACATACATACGTACATATATACTTTAAATGTACATATGTAAACACAAAACTTCCACAATTAGCACAAAATTTCTGTGTTTATTTTGATTTTTTAATGTGTGCTAATTAATGCTTTATAAAAATAAGTCAGGCCGGTGTACATAGGTATATATGCACATACATATGTACATATGTGTGTCATTAAATAAAACGCCCACAACAAAACTCATAAAAACACTTAAAATTATGAGTATAAAATATATAAAAAGTATGTATATGAGAACTGATAATGAGCTTATTACAACAAATCGACCACTTGGCAACAACTTTTTTTGAAAAATTTATTTCACATATATATGTACATATGTACATACATACATACTTATGTACACAGATAAGTAGGCACTAAATTAAAAATATTTATTTTACTATCAAAAACACCTTCCACATGTGTCAGTAAACCAAAAAAAATAGTTTATTAGACTAGATAATTAAGTTATGTTGGCCGCATATTCGCTTAATGTGGCCTCTAGTCCACCACGTGCTTGACAAGTGACACACGAGTAAACAAAACGCCAAACTTTAACCATGGCATATCAGATGGTGTCACATAAGCGGCGATAAGGCGGAAATTTCACTAAATCCAACATTGAATCACTCATTTTTGCATGAAAAAACGAAAACCAGAAATTACTATTTATAATTACAACCAATTTGATGCAAAAAACGCGATTTAAATGCAACTAGTTTTATATAAAAAATATTTTTCTTTTTTTGTTCAAATGAATCACAACGAACTATACATAATCTGTATATATATGTATGTTTGTTTGTATGTACCTACGATAAAAGATATTTTCAATGTTGTTGAACTGCGAAATACACAGCAAAGCGTTAACACGGAGCGAGCGTACGTACAGAACTGAGCAAAAAAACTCAATTGAAAGCGTCTCAAAGAGGAGAGATTAGGCGAACGCGCCGAGGCAATGATCAGCCAACGTTGATAGCGAATGCGCGCACCAGTGGAGGCGCACACAAACTCTGAGAGAAACTTTGGAAAAGTGAAGAGCGTTAAAGGCCAACGTCGAGCGCGAGCGGGAATGCGGAAAATGAACTCATTGCGCGCGAGCCTACGCAAAGGTATAAAATACATACATACATATATTCTTAATATTCCTTAGTTTTTTATGTAGTCTTTTGTATTTGATACAGATTTCGTGCGTTTTTGTAATTTTATTTTAGCTGAATGCTTTTTTTTTTCTTTCTTTGCTCACGTTTTTCTACGCTACGTAAGCGAGTCAATGGATCATGGCTGCGCGAATTCGATTTGTCGCAAGGTATGCCTACTTACATAAATATTACCTGCAAAAGCATATATGTACATATATACTCTTATGTATATGTTTGTGTATATTTGAAAACTGGATCATGACGTTGAGTTGACTTGAGTTTCGCATTTTTGTCTTATGCTCTTTTTTTTCTTTTTTTTGTTCTTTTTTTGCGTACACACCGCTTGCTGAAGGTTGTCAGGTTTTATGCCGGCTGTCAGCTGTTGGGCCACGAGCGCGAGCGCACGCTTCGTTTTCCGTTTATGGTTATGGTTAAGCTTAGCGCGGATTTTTTTGTTTCAACTTTCCGCTAAGTTATCAATTTACGCTCACTAACATGTGGGTGTGCGGGACGAATTAAAGTTATTCAAACATATACATTTGCATACATAAGTTTGTTAATTGATATTGATTAATTGAAAGATTTTTTTGTTCCACTTGCCAGTGTTTTACATATATGTAAAATAAATTATGACAACGAGGAAAAGTGTTTGTGTTTGTGTGAGTATGTGTTTGCCAATCAATTTTAATTAGAATAATATTGAAATTTTTATGAAATGAATTCACATTTTCTTATTAAGCAGAAATATCACTTAAGACAACCCTGATAGCCTTGTGATTGCTACTCTCTTTTGACGGATGGATGTGACACTCATATGTACAAGTATAGGTATGTTTTAGGTAAATAAACTGTGAAGTGGTACCGTTTGCTGTAAGTATATTAAAAAAATTAAATGTTGAAAAGATGCAAAAAAATTCGCAGTTCTCTCCGAAATGTGCTTGG